TTCGCTAATAATAGACATCCCTAATAATTCCCGATTATTAATAAAACCAGTTGTTACCGGAAATATTAAGCCCGAGTTCGGTTTCTTTGCTAGATCACGGACTCTAAAAATTCCCTATTTTTGTAAGTTGGGCTTTTCGTTATGGATTTTATTTTCGTTCCGTTATTATTATTTTTTTATCAACGATACTTCGTTAACATTTGAAACTCGTAATGAAAAAACGTTACGTGCAAGTCTAATCGAATGACACATCCCAGGAATACGTACCTAATCTGATTTTGACGTTAATTAACATTTAACAACAAAACTAATCATAAATTTCGTCTTTTCAAAGTATTTTGTCAACGTGTAATTCTTTACGTTAAGGGAATATATACATTAACATTTCTTAAAAAATGGTTACTTGTAGTTTGTAACCTTGCTTGGTATCCACGCAAAAACTACTCAAAATTATCCAAAGGCATTAGAGAAACTCAAAATTATTTTTACAAGAATTCCACTAAAGATTACATTCTTTTTTGTCAAAAGATTCTAAAAAACCCAAAACTTTTTTTGGTAAAAGTAACTAACGAAGACGTTCAAACAAGTGTTCATGTAAAATTCAAAACAGAATCACATCACCAAATCTTCAAACAAAAAAAGATTCAATAATGTAAACCAAAATATTTTAAAAATAATTTCCTTTAATAAAAAAGGTCAAAGCTTATCCTTCACTTAAACAAATACTTAAGTTTGGTTTCATACTAACTTGCAAGGCATAAGAATGTAAACAAGCCAATGTTATCTTAAACACAAGCATTTGCTCCAAACCAACAAAAAAAACGAAAAAAGAGATTTTGGAATCTTGCGTGGCTATGGAGATTAATGTTGATGAAGAAGCTAGGATCAATAATGGTGTTCGTCGCATGATCAAAGAAGAAAAAGTTCCACTCCTAGAGGAGGATCAAATTCGAGTTCAAAATCGAGACTTTCCTGATATAGAAAGGAACACTTGGATACAAAAGGCAATAGGTCAGACTTTTAAGACAACATCTCATCTAGCTAACCTTTTACCTACAGGGACAGTTCTCGCTTTCCAAATCCTATCGCCGATTTTCACAAACGCTGGACACTGCGATTTAGTTAGTAGATTCATGACTGCGTCGCTGGTTTCCATCTGTGGATTATCTTGTCTTCTCCTTAGCTTCACAGATTCTTACAAGGACTTGAATGGAAATGTTTGCTACGGATTTGCTACAATCAATGGCTTCTGGATAATCGATGGCTCGGCTATTCTTCCTCAAGAACGTTCCAAAAGCTATAGATTACGGTTTATAGACTTTGCGCATGCCATCATGTCTTTTCTAGTGTTTGGAGCCGTGGTTCTGTTTGATCAAAATGCGGTCAACTGTTTCTTCCCCAAACCATCAACTGAAGTAGTGGAGCTTCTCACAGCTTTACCCGTCGCCATTGGAGTCTTTTGCAGTATGTTGTTCGCTATATTTCCTACTACACGCCATGGTATCGGTTTTCCCCTCTCTGCTAAATGATCTTCTGATTCGGAAATGTAAAATCCTTAAACACCTATTGGATTCTGAACATTTATATTGTATATAAGATGGTCTCTTGAATAGAGTATCTCAATGTTTGTGTAAATTTACATGTTCATTTCAGTTTCTTGCACATAGACCTCCAAATCTCTGATAGATTCTGAAGCTTCTGCTACAATCGTTTTATTCAACTTGTGACTTATTTGGTAGAGCTGTCCAAAATATATATATTGCTCGATTCGTTATTTGCTTTCATCCGATTTAGTTAGATAAAATCAGAAAATATCAAACAAGAAAAAAATATTTAGCACTGAAACAGTAAATCAAATTCCGACAGAAAGCCCAATAAACATAATCAAATTTAGTTTTACAAAAAAAAAAAAACATAAATTTAATTTCTTGTGACTGTTGTGTCACATTCAGTACTTTTACAAAAAAAAGTCACGTTAAAAAAATGGGTAGGTTTATAGTCGTACAATCTATCAAGACCTTTAAAAGAAATAAAAAAAAATTCAAAACAGAAACTATAATCTTTTAATAGACAAGATCAAAGCTTAAACAAAGAGTTAGTTTTGGTTACTTGCAATGATGCATAATAAAGTCAGTAACCAATGTTATATTAAACTCAAGCATTTGCTCAAAACGGAAACAAAAACCAAAAAAAAAAACCTGGAAAAAAAGAGATTTGGGGCTTGAGTGTTATGGAGACTAAGGTTGATGAAGAAGCTGGGATCAATGGTGCTGGTCGAACGATCAAAGAAGAGAAAGTTCCACTCTTGGATCAAGCTCAAGAATTTCCTGAAATAGAAAGGCAATAGGTCAGACTTTTAAGACCACAGCTCATCTAGCTAACCTTTTACCTACAGGGACAGTTCTCGCGTACCAGATCTTGTCGCCAATTTTCACAAATGTTGGACACTGCGATTCAGTTAGCAGATTCATGACTGCGTCGCTAGTTTCCATCTGTGGATTCTCTTGTTTCATACTTAGCTTCACAGATTCTTACAAGGACTTGAATGGAAATGTCTGCTACGGATTTGCTACAATCAATGGCTTCTGGATAATCGATGGCTCGGCTGTTCTTCCTCAAGAACGTTCCAAAAGCTATAGATTACGGTTCATAGACTTTGCCCATGCCATTATGTCGTTTCTGGTGTTTGGAGCCGTGGTTATGTTTGATCCGAATATGGTCAACTGTTTCTTTCACGAAGCATCAGATGAAGTAGAAGTGCTTCTCACAGCTTTGCCTGTAGCCGTAGGAGTCTTTTGCAGTATGTTGTTTGCTACATTTCCGACTACACGCCATGGTATCGGTTTTCCACTCTCTGCTAAATGATGTTCTGTATCAAATTTAAAATCCTCATAACCTCTTCCGAATGTTTGTGTAAGTTGTTCCATTCGACATGTTTGTTTCAGCTGTCTTCATCTAATCTCCCTTGCACTTAGATCTTCAAATCTCTGAGAAGAGATTCTGTAGCTTCTCCTACGATCGTATTATCCAATGTGTGGCCTATTAGTAGCTTCCATGTTCCTTTACTTGGGATACACCCATCAGTCACCATCTCGTTAACTAATTGAACTGCTTTCTGAAATTCACCCTTTTTGCACAAACACTTCACCAAAGAGTCTAGTGTCTCAACCTCAACCGAGATGCCTCTACTCCTCATGCTTAGATATAGAGTAAATGCGCGACCTGGATAACTTGTGCAAAGACCTCGGACTACTTCATTACTTGTCTTAACATGGATGTTCCAAGTTAAACGATTTGGAGTTATTCCCCCAAGAATCATCTCGTCGAGGAAATTGGCAGCTTCAGGAAACTTCTTGACAGTACAAAACCCATTGATTACTTTTCCATATAATCCAGCATCAGGTTTCAAACCCTGAAGATTCATTCTATCAAGAAGTTCAACGGCTTCTTGAATCTTCTGCTCTTTACAGAGACCAGTGATCAAAGTGCTATACGTTACCATGTTTGGCCTGCAGCCTCTAGCCACCATCATCTCAAATAATTCCATGGCTTGCAAAGGTCGCCCATCTTTGCAAAGACCGTCCATTAAAGAACTGTAAGTGAAAACATTCGGCTCGATGCCTTTACTTTTCATCTCTTCTAGATATCTCATCGCTTCCTCAACAACTTTCGACCCACACAAACCATGAATCATAGAAGTATACGTAACAACAGTTGGTGCACAGTCTTTTTCAACCATCTCCTTAAATAACTTCTTCGCCTCATCTATCCTTCCAAACCGACACAAACCACTAATCAAAGTTCCATATGTGTAAGAATCCGGATCACACCCTCGCTTAGGCATTTCAAGAAAAATCTTAAGACCAGCATCCACTGTCTGCTCATTTCTGCAGAGAGCTTTGATCAAAACATTGAGAGATGCAACAGTAGGAGGCAAACCAATCTCTCTCATATTCTTGTAAAACTTAAAGGCCAATTTTAACTGATTCTCTTCCACAAGAATAGCAAGAACAGTAATGTAAGACTTCTGGCTAGGATCACAATCAAAATCTTTCATCTTGTGAAAAACCCTCAAAGAATCAAATGGTCTATGAACCCGACCATACCCTCTGCATATCGAAAGCAAAATCTCTTCGCTAATAACACAATTCTCAGTCTTCATTCTTGCAACTAAATCTTCAGCTGCTTTGAATTTATTGGCAGAGACCAACCTCGATACCATATAACCAAAAGAACTCTGATCATGTAAGTAACCATTTGCGTATTCCGCTGTTGCAGAATCAAAAACTGCAATTGACTTCTCTATGTCTTTTTCAGCTCGCATCAGTTTGATAACCTGTGAAGGTGTGATGGTTTTTGACCACTTGAACATCTTCGCTTTGCTACCCATTACCAGAAAAATGACGCCTTTCTACAATAACGAGGATATAAGTTTATAGAGAAACAGAAAAATAGTCAACTGACAGCAGAATCTCTGCTAGGCATTACGTCGAACGGCTTGTGCGCATTATAGACTTTGCAAAGCTCAAGCCAAAACATAAGACACAGACCAGCTAAAGTAAACCATTCTCAGTAGAGCACCAAATCGAAAGAAACAGCAATGAAGCTGGATACGAGGTAGAAGGTGAATCAAATCGCCGGAGAAGAACCGATCACCATTTTAGCGACTTAGATTAGGGTTTATGAGGAAGAGAAATTAAAAGACACGGCGTGCTTTACCAATGGGGACTTAAGCTTAGTCTCTATACGAGTCAGAGGGTATCAATTAACCAATTTTAAAACAAAATTAGGTGATAAACAAAAGTTTTTTACCCATCGGGATCGAAAACCCTAGCTGCCAGAGAGAAAAAAAGAGAAAAAAGTGATTTGATTTTTTTTCTTCTTCGATGTCCGGTACTTTTACCGGCTTAGTGAGAGGGAGATGGTTATAACTTTATGTTCGATATGGAATCTAAGAGATGTCCATGAAA